TCATGGTCCAGGTTCAACAAGACCTGGAATTCCTGTTCGTAAAACTGATTCTCCCAGGCTTTTCCATTTTCATTACTTGCTCGTATATTCCACCTTCCTCGGATATCTTAATATACGAGCATCACCTGTCCGCTTTAAAAACTGTTTCTTCCTCGCTATCAGATAAAGACCATATGATAGTTCTTGGTGATTTTAATTTGCCAGGTGCTGTTTGGTCTTCGGTAAACGAGTCTAATAACCTTGTGCCCATGTCACGAAACTACTTTATCGACGGCTTGCTAGACCTATCCCTGTCTCAAGTCAACCATGTGAAAAATTCCTTGGGTCGATTGCTTGATCTGTGCTTTGTCTCGGATCCGACCATAGCGTTGTTAACCCGAGCCCTTCCGCTCACTATACCCGAAGACTCCTACCATCCTACATTCGAAGTGTCAGTCGATATTGGCCCCACTGTATTGGATCGAACGGGTAGGCTATCTGAACGTGTCCGCTGCTTTCGTAAAGCCGAGTTTATGAAGCTTAATAACCTTATTAGGGATTTTGATTGGTCCGCTCTGTACTTGTGCACTGACGTTATGAAAGGCACACACATTTTTTACAATGTACTTGACACATTTTTTGATTCTTGTGTCCCACTTTCTTGTCCGGTTAGATCTGGAAAGCCTCCTTGGTTTACCAAGGAGTTATCCAGTCTAAAAAATTTAAAATCAAGACTTTATAAAAAATTTCAAGAAGTTGGTTCTCCCTCTTCTCTTTCTCACTATGTAATAGCTCGGTCAAATTTCGCCGTTCTTAACGCTCAATGCTATAAAAATTACCTATCTCGATGCAGGATACGATTTTCACAGGACCCTAAACAGTTTTACAGCTTCGTAAATAGTAAGCGTAGAACGTCCGTACATCCATCCTCGTTATCTTTTCTCAATATGTCAGCAAACAATGATCAGGCAATTGCCGATCTTTTTGCCAAATTTTTCCAAACAACCTATTCTCATGAAAGCTACTCTGGTCAGCCGTATCCATACAGTTTACCAAGGTCGAATAGCATCTTCAGCCCCTTGTTAAATGAAAGCTCACTGCTTCATGATCTTCGACTAGTTAGGCGGTGTTTTCACCAGGTCCCGACGGAGTTCCCGGCTGTGTACTCAGGTACTGTGCCGACGCTCTGTGTGGACCCTTGCTTAAACTATTCACTCTATCCATTAACTCTTCATGCTTCCCCCCCATCTGGAAGGAATCTTTTATTATTCCGCTCCATAAGAAAGGTAGCAAGTCTGATGCAAATAATTATAGAGGTATATCTAAGTTATCCGCTATTCCTAAAATGTTTGAAAAAATTTTAACTCCGCACTTGCAACATCACTGCAAATCACTTATATCTCCGTCCCAGCACGGATTTATAAGGCGACGATCAACAACCACAAATTTATTAGAGTTTACCTCTTTTATCATTAAGGGCTTTCAAGGTAACTTGCAGACGGATGTCATTTACACTGATTTTAGTAAAGCATTTGATTCTGTAAACCATTCTCTTTTAGCACAAAAACTTGACCTGTTAGGGTATCCGCCTAATCTTTTGAGATGGATTTCTAGCTACCTTTGTTCTAGGTCTCAAGGAGTCCTCTTCAAAAACTCCTTCTCTTCACCTGTTAAGGTTACTTCTGGAGTACCACAGGGCAGCCATCTAGGCCCCCTACTATTCACACTCTTTATTAATGATCTGCCTTCAGTATTAACAAACTCTCGAGTACTCATGTATGCGGATGATGTTAAACTTTGTGTCCAGTATAAGGACATTTCATTTCACTCTCGCTTGCAATCCGATCTCAATAACTTGCAATCATGGTGTTGTGCAAATATGTTACACCTAAATGCCTCGAAATGCAAAGTAATGACATTTCATCGCTCCAGCCCCATATTGGCTCCTTATAGCCTCTGCGGTGGTTCTCTTGAGAGAATTACCTTGGTTGATGATCTTGGTGTTAAATTAGACCCAAAGTTAAAGTTTTCTGAACACATTTCTACCATGGTAAATAAGGCCATGGGTGTGCTTGGGTTTATAAAGAGGTGGTCAAAGGAATTTGACGACCCCTATATAACGAAGACTCTCTATATCTCGCTTGTTCGTCCGATTTTAGAATACGGCTCTTGTGTATGGTGCCCCCAGTACAAAGTACACCAGGACCGTATAGAATCAGTGCAGAAAAACTTTTTACTTTTTGCTCTGCGTGGCCTTAACTGGGATGCAGGTGTGAGACTGCCATCTTATCCTCGTAGATTGCTTTTAATAAACCTTCCAACCTTAGTTAGTCGTAGAAAAATGCTTGGTGTGATTTTTATGCACAACCTGATCAAGGGTGATGTAGATAGCCCTGACTTCTTGAGCCGCATAAACTTTACGATTCCTATTAGATCTACTAGAAACTTCATTCCTCTTTTCCTTCCGCTTTGTAGATCGAATTATTCCTTGCACGAACCATTTAGGGTACTTTGCTCGGATTTCAATTCCCTCTACCATATAATATCAACTACTAATTCCCTTCCTCTTCTTAAATCACTAATACTAACATACCTTTCCCGTAATTAGTTATATTTTTGAGCTATCTTTGCATGTTTAGCGCTTAGAGTTGTGTTTAGCTCTAATTTTCCTCGAATTTTAGTCTAACACCTATCTTTCCTGCATGCTCGCGATCGGTTCGGTAACACGCGTCGCGCGTCATTAGGCAGCGCCCCTCGGTCGGTTGGGCGGGAGGAGGGCTGCGTTTCTGCCTGGGTTCCGCGCGTAACAGGCTTTGGCTTGGTGTCGCATGGGCCACATGATGGTGCAGTCATTGCATATCAACGTCCAGACAAAGATAGTCTCTGAAATATAAGCGCTCATCAAAACGGACAGACGGATATGGCTATATCGACTCGGCTATTAATGCTGATCAAAAATATATATACTCTATGCGGTGGGAAAAGATTACTTCTCTGCGTTGCAAACATCCACTTTTACCACAAATTCAATATACCCCATAACTCTTCGAGTACGGGCTTAAAAATATTTGTTTTTCATGCATTAATTGAGAAAATTTTAAAAGATAATCTTTAGAAAATAATAATGACAAATTTTTTGTGAAGGTCTCTTTTGAGACGAAGAGCTTTTTCGTCTACGTCCACAGAAGCGACTCACACTTTCCTTCTCGTTCGTTTTTTCTCTCTTCGCAGCAAAGTAGGCTTTTTCTAATGTCATATGGCAAAAAAAAAATATGGTTATAAACTATTGATGTCGATATTTCATCTGTAAACGGGAACTCCCATTTTGTTATTGTTTTGGTTAATTTTAAAATTTGAGGTCTGACAATAAATAACACAAATATAAGATTAAAGCATCACAAACTATTTACTTGCTGTGTGCAGCTCATTTCTGAAATCGTAAGATTATTAGCAGTCAATTTGCGAAAACCCAAGCACGCAGTTTTGCGATTTGACAGTCAATTCGAAAGTTTTTTTGAGTTGCGATAACCGGAACATGGCACATGTAACAAAATATAGATTTTTGGTTGGTATATTTGTTTATCTTGAAACAGACGGACATCGAAGATAATCGTACATTTTTTCGTTAAAACTTCTGACCAACTTTTTTATTGCATGTTAATAGCCCTTTCCTACAAATCTAGGAAGATCGGATTTGAAAGATTTAACGCTCTGTTTTCCACTATTCCATCCGGAATAGATTTTTCCTGAACTGTTATTTCAACAAGCTGTTCAAATTTTCTGATTTGGTTGGCTATAATAAAACTATACATATGTATATATCCAAATCTTGTTACCATAGATAGCCGTTTCCACATCGCTAATCGCGCTCAAAAAGCTGTGGTCAAAAATATATATATTAGGCTGAGCCAAATTTACGTGTTTCTATTTTATTTTTATACCCGTACTCAAAAAAGAGTTAAGGGGTATATAAGATTTGGGGTACATATCCCACTTCTACAAGCCCCGCCCTCTTCCGCCCCCACAAAGGACGAAAATCTGTGGCAGGTACATTTTTAAAGATACGATAAAACTTAAAAGGCAGTATCGTAGAGAATGCCCATATCTACCAGACTGCCGAATCAGAATCAGATCGGATCATAATTATAGCCAGAATGAAGAAATTAATTTTCAGTTGCTTCCCCTGCCCCCTCCGGCAAACGACAACGCAACTCATTTTCCTTCTCGCTCGCACACTCTGCCGCGTTCAGTGCGCGAGCAACCCCTAGCGGAGGAGATGTAGAATATAAATGGTACATGTAGAATCTACATGTTATATGTAGAATATACATTGTAGATGTAGATGTAGATAACAGATGTAGCAAATAAATGTAAAATGTTAAATTTTTTTTTTTTAATTTTTAAATTCTAAAAAATCATATGCTTAAAAATGTAAATACTGACTGAGTACGGGTATAAGTAGAGTCGCGTCTTTAGAAGCGACTCACACGTTCCTTCTTGTTTTTAATGTATATTTACCCAAAAAATTTTTTTTTTTTCCGTGGTAGCAACCCCAAATATTAAACTAAAAATTTGAAAAAAAATTTATAATTTTATTGAATAACAAAGAACAGAATTGGGTGGTGTCCCCTTAAAAAAACAAAAAAAAAATTGTTTGGTCAAATTTTGGCCCAGCCTATTAAAGAATTAGCTCACAATTCCTGGTTTTACCATAAAAAAACCTTTTATCTTGTCGCTACAACCAGAAGTGTGGTTGAATACTACCATTAAACATTTTTGTATACACGTATAAATTACAATACTTTTTTGTTTTTAACAACGGTGTTTTATAGTGTTATAGGTCTTTGAAATAGCTGAAACGCATTTTCATAAAAGCGAGGTAAAATTAACAATACTTAAATTGAAAAAGATTACCAAAAATATCTTTACAGTGTCAGAGTGTAAATTAAACTTATTCTAAAGTACACGAATTTCGTATCAATTCAATAAGCATATATATTCTTTTCCACTTATCTTTCCAGGAGCCAGTCTTTTAAAGAAGACGATGGAACTTGGAAAGGAAATGATGATGGAAAAGTTGTCAATAATCAACCTCAAAGAGTTATGGATGATAGAAATGGAATGATGGCACAAGCAGGATATATTGGCAGGTAAAATGACGATTTGTATTTTTTAATTTTAACGTTTTTGGTGTTCCTACCTCTGGACCTAGCTCTTGGCCATAATCTCTAAAAGTAGAATATTTTAAGTTTTTTTTTTCAAGTACTAGGGCGGAGCCAGAAATAGCCTAACTACTGAAAAACAGACATTTTTTTTAATATTCAATATACAGGGGTGCCACAGAAATCACTTCCGCGGGAAAATCAACTCAATTCCATTCCGCGGTGCCACACACCAATTTTTCAGCGGAATGAAAATCGCTCACAATTTATCCACCGATTTAATTAAATACACCCATAAAACACACCTTAAACGAATTTTAGTAAATCACTATCCAATCCGCTGACTGAATTTTCACTTAACGATTCCGCGCTAAATTCGCTGCAGTCCGAGGTGGCCACCTAGGACGACTCGGGCTTTCGAAGTTAATACAGTAATTTTTTTTAAGCCGAATTCGGAGCAAGATATTTTATATTAATTATATTGAAAGCATTCTGTTTTTCTTTAATTAAGCATTGCAGTGAAACTTCCTTTACTTCAAACGTGTGTGTCTGGTTTCCCGGCCTCATATTCCCCAATAAATTCCTCAAAATAGCCAGTGGAGCAAATTAACGTAATCTCACCTTTGTTTTCTATTTGCATTGCCCACTGCATATATATATATTGTAACCGATTATAATTACTCACGGCAGCGGCCGTTCTTTCGCCTCTTTATATCTCCTTCTTCATTTGCTACTGCAGGTGCAGCATCTATACTGTTCTATCACATTCTCTCTCTCTATCTATCGCTCGTGATCGGCTCAGCAGCAGCCGAGCTTCTATCGCTTCTTTCGTTCTCTCTCTCGCTTGCATTAGGGAACGGGCAATTCGGTCCGCCTGCCCTCTTCTAGTCTTTAATTGATCGTCATCATTATCGCACTCACGTTCTACTGTCTTGATCAATCACTCACTTCTCTCGCATATTGAACAGACCCTGCGTCTTCAATTCTCGCTTTGATTTGATCATCCGGTACCCCTCGCTTTATTTCGCTACACCTACGCACCCCATATTTCGCCTACTTAACAAATAAACTGTACACACATAAAGTATATTGAATCGCTCGACTTCTTAATTTAATCTAAATTCAACAGCTAGTGAAAAAGCTCGCTAGCTCAACATTTGGTGACCCCGACGTGATTTGTGCAATAAACAATTCGGTAGTGCAAATTACAAACTACAATTTATTATCGAAATTACCCTCAAGATCCGTTCGTTCGTTTGGTTTCACTTGCCTGCTGTCTCAACCCGTGTCATCGACCACATAGGTGCACACAAGCTTATAGAGACAGCCCATGCATATAGGCATAGCTGTCGGCAGTCTTTCCCGTATATTTTGCGTGTTGCTCTTTTCGGTCATCTTCCCGCTAGAAACGTTTCTAACTCTGCCCTTGCTATGGGAACCGATGCTGGAAACGACATTGCAGTAGCCGCAGCTAAAAACAGGGTGACTTTCCTGAGACTGAAAGTACCTTCATTAATAAAACAATTGGAAAGGATGAAGGCTATTTTGGAGAGTGAGATATCGCTGCGTGATTATTTTACGCTAATTGTATGGCTGAAGGAGATCGAGGAGCTGCAGGGCACTTTTAAAACCCTGCACAACGAGCTCCAAGAGTTGGATTACGACAATAATCACATTGGATTGTGCGAAAAGTTTAATTGTGGTTTCATGCCGCTGAATGCTTCGATTCGGCTGGAAATCTCTCGTCTCAACCCTAACCTGCCTCCTCCCTCTACAGTTTCAGCAAAAACTATTATTGCTAATATTGTTGGCAGGCAGCTGCCACCACGGAGGAATCCGGTACCCGTTCTATGCCTTGTGCAATCGCCATCTACGGATACAACGAAGCCAGCCACATGCTTATGTGTGGGGCGAATGCTGCAGTTGACAACAGATGAGCGGGTAGAGCAGTCTGTTGATGCAAAAAATCATTTTCGCGACGTATGCATGGATGTCTCTGAATCCAGCTCCCGTTCTCAGGAGGAGTACAATACGATTTTGGAGAAACCAGCTTTATCAGCTGCTCAATTGACGACAGGTTACAAGGAACCACATTTGAAGTTCGACATTGGCAGCGATGTCCCAGCACCGTTGGAACTAGCTTCGGAACCGGCTACTAAGAGACCATTACTCTCGTGCTTGAACATTCAGTCGTCGACGCGCCCCTGCAGGCGCTCAGTTCATGCCTTGTCTACAGAAGAACAGCCCAACGACCCCTCCGGACTACCTGGTCCTAAACTTCCGTTATCAAGACCAGCTCTAAGCTCTGAGTGTGAAGCTGACGGATTCTGCAACGTTAGCATTGAGACTTATCGTGCCAGTAGCTACGTGAAGTCAAACGGTCACAATCCGGTTGGTATTTCTTCTCGTTGGTCTCGTCGGATTCATTTGAACGGGCCCCCTCTTTTGATTTATGGAACTCATTCTCAATCTTCGTTAAACCTGGCTGGCCGTCATCCAATCGGCGTACCAAACAAGACTCTAGTTCAGCGCACCAAAACCTTAGCGTTCATCAACGCTAATAAGCAGAAACTTCGCGCTGGACTTCGTGCTCTGCTTGCAATAAGTCCATCCCAATATTGGCCTATTAGGGGGAGTGGAGCTGCCGTGAAGATGGGCAACTACAATTGCTTTCGAATCACTGACAATTCAGGCCACATTTTGGGCATTTTTAATCCTACAACATTAGCTTCAATTACAGAGAGCTCTGCCGATCTGGATGTGCCAGTTCGTGGCCCTCTCTTTTCGTTTCCTGAACCTAGCGTAACATGCCTGATCTTGCATCAATTGGATGACAGGCAATGCGTTACCTACTTACTCCATATCTCCTGTACGCGATGGAAAGAAGATTACATCTCGTCGCTGCAGCTGCGTTCAAAGCGTATACAGAACCCTGGGACATTGGTCAAATTCATACCCGGATTCATTGACGTGTCTCAAGATGCTTTGCTAAATACGGAATCAGGATTGCTACATCAAATCAGCCACAAGCGACGGCTGTGAAACCCTTCAGCATCTGTTGAAAGTCAGGCTTTCAACGGGGGAGTATGTCTGGTTTCCCGGCCTCATATTCCCCAATAAATTCCTCAAAATAGCCAGTGGAGCAAATTAACGTAATCTCACCTTTGTTTTCTATTTGCATTGCCCACTGCATATATATATATTGTAACCGATTATAATTACTCACGGCAGCGGCCGTTCTTTCGCCTCTTTATATCTCCTTCTTCATTTGCTACTGCAGCTGCAGCATCTATACTGTTCTATCACATTCTCTCTCTCTATCTATCGCTCGTGCTCGGCTCAGCAGCAGCCGAGCTTCTATCGCTTCTTTCGTTCTCTCTCTCGCTTGCATTAGGGAACGGGCAATTCGGTCCGCCTGCCCTCTTCTAGTCTTTAATTGATCGTCATCATTATCGCACTCACGTTCTACTGTCTTGATCAATCACTCACTTCTCTCGCATATTGAACAGACCCTGCGTCTTCAATTCTCGCTTTGATTTGATCATCCGGTACCCCTCGCTTTATTTCGCTACACCTACGCACCCCATATTTCGCCTACTTAACAAATAAACTGTACACACATAAAGTATATTGAATCGCTCGACTTCTTAATTTAATCTAAATTCAACAGCTAGTGAAAAAGCTCGCTAGCTCAACAGTGTGCATACTTTTTGTGCAAATTGTGAAAAAATTTGTAGTCATTTGTATGTGTCATCGCTTCAAAATGCCAAAACAGAACTACCAAACCATTTCTACACATTATTGCCATTGCATTTATGTCAAAACCCCTGTTCGGCTAAGTGCAGACCCATGGCAGCACAAATAGAAGCATAGCGATCAATATACCACAAACTGGTTATTTTAATGAACTAAATTAGCAGTAGTTTGAGAAGACAATCACATGATCACATGATAAAATCAATAAAACTGCAAAATGACGCCTATTCGAATTGAATTGAAAGGTGTCAGCCCTAGCCTTAGTTCGAATTTGGTTTTTCACAATGCGAAGAAAAATGAAATCGCGCGGAATTCTGTGGCATGCTCTGCGCGGTTTCCAATTTCACTAGTGATTTCTGTGGTACCCCTGATAGAATAGATTTTAGATTTATATGCTTTTTCCAGAACTTTTTACATTTTTGTATCTTTTTCAAAAATTATGATTTGTCGAGGTCCTTAAAATAGGCATTTTTTTTGGGATGACTTAATCATTGGACTCAAAACTCTTTCCGCCGAACCATTTCTCGAGGATTGAAAACAAGACATAGTCACTAAGGACAGAGAATAGGGTGAGAAAAAGTGCAATTCGAAGCATAATTCATGGATTTTTGAAATGGAAACTGCACATGTGTGCCCTTTGCACTGTCCTGGTCAAAGCAACCGAAAAGTGTTGAACTTTTGGTACTTGAACGTCTTACTTTGGCATTGGACCAGCAACGGTATTTGTCAGGTAAAATTAGTTTTGAGTCGTTTTGGTCAAACGGCTGCAAGTTGCTCCTCCGCTGGAGGTCGCTCGCGTACATAACGAGGCAGAGTGTACGAGCGAGAAAGAGAATGAGTAGCGGGTCTCTTGCTGAACGAGACGGCGGAAGCAACTTTTCAGTTCTTCATTCTGGCTATAATTATGATCCGATCTGATTCAGACTCGGCAATCTGGTAGATATGGTCATTCTCTACGATACTGCCTTTTTTGTTTTTTCGTATCTTTAAAATTGTGCCTGCCACAGATGTTCGTCCTTTGTGGTGGCGGAAGAGCCATGTCTGTCTGTCTGAGCGCCTGGATCTCAGAGACTATAAGAGGTAGAGAAACCAAATTTGGTTTCCAGACTCATGTTATATCCCACTGCTACAACAACACCGCTACGACAAAGGACAAAAATCTGTGGCAGGCAGAATTGTAAAGATACGATAAAACTAAAAACACAGAATCGTAGAGAATGCCCTAACTCTTA